CGGAGCGAGATATGTAACTGTTTGTCAAACTCGCACCCCTGGAAAGCTATCTTCGCGCTCCGATTTATCTGCAATTTCTCCTTTGGCATTTCGTTATAGAATGCTTATAGCTTCCATATTAAACCTTTTGCGGAGCGTGATATGTAAATTTATGTTTACCTCGCAGCCATGGAAAGCCATCTTTGTCGCGCTCCGATTTATCTGGAATGTCTCCTTTGGCCGGTGAATGTAGAATGCATATAGCTTCTACATGCAATCTTTTGCGGAGCGAGATATGTAACTGTTTGTCAAACTCGCACCCCTGGAAAGCTATCTTCGCGCTCCGATTTATCTGCAATTTCTCCTTTGGCATTTCGTTATAGAATGCTTATAGCTTCCATATTAAACCTTTTGCGGAGCGTGATATGTAAATTTATGTTTACCTCGCAGCCATGGAAAGCTATCTTCGCGCTCCGATTTATCTGGAATGTCTCCTTTGACATTTCAATATAGTATGGATATAGCATTCAAATGCTATTTTTTGCGGGGCGAGATATGTATGCCACTGACTGACTGACTGACTGACTGACTGACTGACTGACTGACTGACTGACTGACTGACTGACAGGGGTGAACCCCGGGGGCTCGGCCCCCCGAAGGCGCTTCGCGCCCGGGGCCTCGCCCAAAAAGTGAGGAGAGAATGTGCACGAGAGAAAAGTGAGGAGAGAAAATGTGCACGAGAGAAAAGAGAGAGAAGAGAGAAAGGTGATTTTTCCATCCCTCCCGTTCGGATGGTTCCCCCCCATCACAACCCCCGTATCTTCAGTTTGTAATCTTCTTGTCGGGGCTATGGGGTAGGGGAGGAGGGGGGTTTGATGTGAGGAACAAGAGCTTGAGGAGATGTGGTTTCGATACACGGAACCTGGCTCTTAAACAGGTTGGGGGTTAGCAGGTTTGTCAGGGGGTTCCCTCCCGGGGGGGGGGGGGAATTGTGGCGATATGGTGTGTCCTTGTTTGGCGTGCTGGGAGCTATTCCGTGCCCTCGGTACCAGTGTCCGTGCATCTGTTTTTGGTTGAAGCAGAACGGCGCGAGTAGATTGTGATATTTATGTGCAAATGCATTTTATATATGTATGTATGTATGTATGTATGTATGTATGGAGTCTGTGTGGTTATGGTTAGGTGGCCTTTTTCGCGCTTCCATGAAACGATTGTGAAGGGCAGCGCGCGCCTCTTGGATTTCATTAATGGTCATTGGTGTGTCGCCCCTTCCGTAGCGGCATTGTGATGGAGGTGCGATTGGTGCAGTCGTGAGGCGGATGGATGCAGGCAGTGGATCGTTTTTGGTAGCGCAGGCGCCTCCACGAGCTATTGTAGACAGTGTAGACAGTGCAGATTGGCTAGAAGGTCTAAGAAGTACTAAGACAGCGGTTACGGGGGGAGGTCGCTGGGGCGAGGTGACGGTGGTGATGGTGAACGCCCTGGCGGAGGTAGCGGCAATCTTATAAAAACAGAAATGCAGGCAGGTGCATAACGTGACACAAGATATGTAGCACCACGGAGTGGGGTAGCCCACTGTACCTCCGTTGTATCTATGGTATATATTAACAAAATAGCTGGTTAGCTTGCAGCCTAGAGGTTGAGGTGATGAGAGGTGGGCAGGGGGAAGATGGTAGATCAGGACGCGAGCAGGCGCATCTTTATCGATGCGTTTCAAAAACCTCCCCCTCGACCCTCTGCAGCGGTAGCGACGACTAGCAGACTTTTATACATCTGGCCTCTGCCTCTTATGCAAAGAAACGTGATAAGTGCATCTGATAAGTGTGTCTGCGTCTTTGCTCTTTTCAATCCGACGCTTTCGAGGCCACCAACAGGCCACCAACGACAATAAAGACACACCCCTCCGCGCATGTCCATGCTACGCATCCGTACAATTATACATACATACAAATGTACAGCCCAGTGTCCACCTGTCGCACTCTCCCAGTGGCCCATAAGATCCCACCATCTCTCTGTTCTGCTAGCATGTGTGTGCGTATGTATGCACCTGCCTTCCCTACTTCCCGGTACAGCTCAGTTTCGGGCAGCAGATGCGTGTATGGGCCGGCACCTTTTCTGCCCCTTTCGATCGGCCCTGTCGCAATTCAACTACGGAGCTCATAATTAAGGGCGTGGTGCAGGCTCCGAGGCGAAGCTGCGAACTCCTCCACCCCTCCTCCTCGCCCGCCCGCCCGCTGAGCTCTTACAGCATCAGCATCCAACATTTCGTTCAGGAAAGAAGAATGGCGCGACACTAGAGAGACGTACGCTTGCTTGCGCAGCAGAAGAATGAGAGATGGACACGCATCGGCGTGAGTCGTCGGGCAGTCCGGTCTAGGGGCCCCAACTCAGGACTTAAAAAGGCTATTCCTTGAAAACTTCATCAAGAGCAGCATTCGTCAATAGCAACGCGTGGAAATAAATACACGCTGTGCGCGGATATGGAGGCACACATACACACTCTTTCTCTCACACACTCACACCGGCTCGCAGCGTCTTCCTGTTCTGTCCGACCCTAACCCAGCCACTAAACCTCCATCACCAGTATCACTCCTTTCTTCCCTCTCTCCCTCTCTCTTCATCTCCCACCTTCCCTCTCCCTCCACCTACTCCTCTCACCACCATTGTTCTCATCCGCCCTTCTCAATGCCTATCAACCTGCTTGATAGTCACCACAGCACCCGGCGAGATGCGGTTCAGGCCGATAAAGATCCAGTACTTGAACAGCACGTCGATCACAACGGGCACAATACCCACGAAGATAACAACGCCCTCTTCGCTGGGCTCCACTCCGTAGTGCCCGAGCACCAACTCAATAAGTCCGTGCCAGCCCTCCTCGGAATGGTATCCCAGCAACGTATCTGCAACCAAGATGATCATCACAGCCTTGGCAATGTCGCTCAGGCCGTAAAACAGACGCGCCATGGTGTTGTACATCGCATCCCTGCTCCTGGTGGGCTGCGACAAGATGCCGACGAAGGTCAGGAAGGAAATCGAGTCGGAGACGGCGTTGATGAGAATCGTCTCGTTGTGGTGTCGCTCCTCCTCCTGCACCTCCGCCGCGAACTCCGCAAGGTGTTCGAACATCTGAAGCTCCGTCATGGGGGGAAGTCGCCCAATTGCCATGTCCAGCCGCAACCGCGTCTCCTCCACATGCACCGCTTTGGCGCCTTCGTACTTTTGGATTTCAGACAGCTCAAAGGCGTCGGGGTTGTTGCGCAAGGAAAAGTTCAGGATGGGGTCTGCGAGAGCGCGGCTGACGACGAAGCCGGTGACAAGGGGGATGCCGATGAGTCGCGCCACGTAGCGCACCGCAAGCTGGGACTCTTCCTTGTTGACCAAGGCCTCCCCGGTCAACATCTGCTCGGAACGCTCCTGATCCAAGTCTAGACCCTCCCTGACCGCATCCCAGTCCAGAAGCTGTGTGGCAGTTGGCGGTTGTGGGGAGGCGGGCGTGTGTGCGGAGGAGGCGCAACCGAGGGGCTCAGGGCAGGAGAGGGTGGCAAGGGGGGGGGGGAAACTATTCCGGCAGCGGCAGATGGCTCAGGGGCGCCCTCAGGGTCTGACATCGGGCTATGCCGCAGCTGCAGCAACACGTCTCAGCGTTTTTGCCGCTGCTCAGATTCCCGATGATGCCTTGCGCGTTCATTCGTCATGTGCTACATGTGCGCGGAGGAGCATCAGCCAGGCGGGGAGACAGGTAGCAGAGGTGTTGGGAAAGGGTTTGGTTTGTCGACGCAGCTGCAAAAAATGCCCACAGCCCAGCCCAGCCCGGCCCGGCCGAGCCGAGAAATGCTCCCCAGCTGGAGACCCAAATCCAAATGGGGCCGGTGGGCGCTCAAAACGAAGGGGGTCGCGGGGGAGCGATCCGAACCGCGAACTCCCTAACCTCAATCCCGCAAAAGCCCTCCCGGAGCAAGGAGCTTCTGCATCCATAGGTCGCGCCATCAGGAATAGGCCGCCGGCCCGCCGGATGCACCCGGGCGCACACAGATTAAAACCGTGTGCGATTATTATTAGCTGCTGGTGGCAAACGGGCTGCGAGGTGCCCCAGCTTACCGGCGTGATCCACTTGTCTCGGGGACCGGCGTTCCGGGTTTCTTTGCGGAACCTGGATACGCCCTCATCCGCTATGCGCTCGACTTGCGGCGGCGAGAAGCGCACCGAGGGGTCCCAGTCCTCATACCAGCTCTGGGCGCCCCATTCGCCTACACCCACGTCGGTGCCGCCCTGTGGCGGGGTCGTGCCGTTTGAGCTGCCGTCGGTTGGCAAACCGAGTCGTCGACGGACGCGCTGCAGCTTCTCCGAGAGATTGTCACCGCTGGCGCTGGCCCCGGTGCCTGAGTTGCTGCCAGCCTGGCAAGGCACGTGCGAGCGCATTCGGCCTTGGCGCCCAATGCCACAACATAATCGCTGGCAGTTCTTTGATAATTGTGTGCGTGGATCAAGTGTTCTAAAAGCAATCTCCATTGTGGCATATGTTCAAGCGGTACCTGCTGAACACATTCTGTTGATCGACCTATGACCAGGCAAGGTGCTGTCCGCAATAACTGCTTAGCTTGGCGTCATACGTCTGACTGATAACTTAATATGTGGATTCAAGGCCTACAGGCCTATATACAAATAAAGGAATAGGGTTGGTCGGGTTTACAGTATCACGGAGGAGGTATGGATATAATAAATGACCATGTGGAAGGTAAATCCTTTCGAGGCAAAACATGCATGAAAGTAGTCCATCGCCCTGTAGATGGAAATCGTTCTCGTCCATCCATACTACGTCGGCAATTCCTCATACGGCAGCTCCGTCTTCGTCTATTAAGTGGAATGACCGCTGCAAATAATTACAGGTCGTTACTACTGCACATACAGCAACCATAGGTAGTGAATATTACCCTTGGAGCAACCGCGAAAATAGGAGACTGCACTTCATACCATACCTTTGGATGCTTGTGCGCTGACGGCATGAAAACAGCGCCAAAAACCCAGACCAAACATCTTCATAGTTCATGAAGCTCAGAGAGCTGAAGCACTAATTTGGACCTTCGAAGTTGAACCCACGGGTCCATCAGGCGCGCCGTGCAAATCACGATATCTGTTTCCGTCGCGTAGCTCTCACAAAAAGCGCTCAACTAAACCGGCATAAACATGCTCTGTATTAAACCTGTAAATTATCGACAAAATGCCGAAATCATGTCAAAACGGCGTCATCGCAGCCTAGACTGCTCGGGACAATCCCCTGATCTCACAACGTAGCCTGCACAAGCATTGCAATATTGGCAGATGTGTCCACGCCGATCGCTCTCATACAGCGAACCCGTTCAAATTATGAAACTTTTATCGACGCTACTCTCCAAAGCCGACCCTCCCTTCGCCACACAGCACCTCATCAAAAGTCAGTTATGATTTAAAGCTTCACGCTCTTCACTGTCTACCCTGCCTCTACAAGTACCTCTCAACGCTGTCACTGCCTCTTTCCTGCTGTACTCGGCCCTGCCCCTCCTCGTCCCTCCGCGCCGCGCTGCACCCTCCTGCTCCCAACAGCAGCTCGCAACCGCTCTTCACGTGCCTCCTCTCCAGACACACCTCGGCAGAAATCCCTCTTGTCAAAGCCTCCACACGCACAGTCGGACCGGACCGTTATGCAAGCTCAACCGCACCCTTATGCTCAAGGAAAGCCCCATGCGTATGCCAACACCTGCCCGCCCGCACCCAAGTCGCATCCTTCGAAACACTAAGCACCACCCAGGAACCCCACCATCACCCCACCATCATCCATCTACAGGCACAGCATGTAGCCTCAAACTCCCTGTTCATCCCTCTCCTCTCCCAAGAAGGAGAGAAAGAGATCTCTATCTCCCGACTCTCTACCTTCCTCCTCCAAAACTAACCACAACTGCACCGAAGACAACAAGCTAAAACAGCCCCAAACCTCACCATTTTCATCCTCTCACCTCCCAACTGCGCACCCCAAGGCACAGTCCACTCTCTATAGTCTTGTACCGTTTCCCGTCCACATGTTCTCGTCGGTCTTCAGTTTCATTCAGGTACCCTCCTCAGAGCGCCTTCCTCAGCCCACAATAAAAAGAGGCCACCTCTTCCTCCCCCTCCCCAGTCTCAAGGGAGGGACGCGTCCAAAGCACCTGCTCCCGTCACGCTGTCAAGCGACCCGACTGCAGCAGCGCCTGACGCTCAAAGTAGCCCGTGATCTGGTCGCTGACCGCCCACACGATCGCTTGGCCGGGCGGAATACGCAACAGCCGCGGCAATAACCCCTTCCACATCGCCATCACGCCCTCCTCCGCGGGAATGCGTACCAACGCGTCGAAAAAGCCCTTATAACGCACGCCCTCGGAAGTCTTCGTCTGCGCCATCAGCCGCGTCTTGGCCACGTCGAACGGTCCTGTGGCCACCGGCCCAAGCAGCGCAGCAAGGAAGCCTGACGTCATAGACTGTACGGGCGTGAGGATCTTGCCGTCGCCCTCGTGCTTGCCCCACAGCAACGCATCGGCGTTGTTCTTGGCCCAGAAGAGGCACATCTGGTTGGTGCCGTTGCGCAGGATGGTGGGTGTGGCACCGGACCACATGCCCCGAATGCCCTCCTCTCGGAGTACGGTCGTGGCGCAGTGGATGGGGCCCTTGTACTTGAAGTGCTCCTTGGCCAGGCCCTTCTGTTGTTGAAGTCGGATCTTGACGACCTCGAAGGGCGTCACGATGACGAGAGCCTCCGTGATTCCCGCCATAAATCCGGCTAGCATGCGGCGGCCGTCGGTCAGCTTGCCGTTCTCATCCCGCAGCAGGCCCTGGTAGACGCTGTTGGAGCCCATCCGCAACGCATATTTTAGTGTGAGGTGAGTTGCGAAAGGTGTTAGGCCCTTCCAGAGCGCTCCGATACCCTCTTCTGTGTATATCTGCCGACCGCAGTCGATGATGCCCTTGTACTTGCCAACCTTGTCCAGCTGCAAGCGCGTCTTAATTACGTCCATCGGCTGTAAGCAGCAAGCCTCAGCTACGCCGCCAATGGAACCGGCAAAGCCCTTGAGCGCCGGTGAGACGCTGGGCTGGCCGAACTTCTTGTTCTCCGCCATGCCGCAGTACCGAAACGCCAACAACCGGACGGCTCAGCAAACGCTTTGGAGCACGAGGACCGCTGAAAAGCTACAAAAGCTTGTAAAGTCAAAGGGTGGCTTTGCTGCTGCACCGTCGTTGTGACCGCTGTGTGCGTCCAAGCGAGGCCGTTGGCTTCAACCTCCCGCGTTCTTCGGCGGCGATGAAGCGCTGCCTCAAATTTCTTGTTCAGGAAGACCAGAATCAACAAAGAAAAGTATATGCTGTAGTTGCGACCTCAAACTGTGCACGTGCGAGCGCTCCGCAGGCGTCTCAGCGAGCACGTTTTCGCTTATATGGCCAAACAAGAGTTGATTTGGTTAGATTGGTCGTCAACGAGAGAACGCAAAGAGTCTGCCACGTGCAGAAGCAGCGCTGACTGTATATAGGAAAATTCTGTTGAAATTGCCTTTGGCGCCGTGTGCAGGGCCTTATTCGGCACCGGTCGTCACGAATTTTGCCATGCGGATAATGCCATCGAAGGCATTTGATGAGTTTAAAAGGGAATGGCTTTTGCAACTCCAGAATACTGGGAAGCACACTATCAGGAGGCCAACGGCGAACACATCGACTGGTGCGCATGCGCGACTTGCATGAACGAAATGCAACAGTAGCGTTGCAACCTTGTTACGACTGTGCATTATACGTGCCTTGCATAAAGTTCCACTTGTATCTACAGTAGGGTTTGGCGACCTAACATTGCGCGCCCTTTTCGCGTCTCTCCTGGCCCAGGCTTTGCCAGTATTCCACGCTACGCAAGGTAGTTCTTCATTACCTCAGGCAGTGGAAGCGGCCTTTGCCGGCCATCCTGTTGCTTGGCACTGGCCTGTCAACATTTGCGGAGGAGCTGTACGACGGGTACGTCAGGGTAACCTCCTTACAACAAAACAAAGATGGGGGCCCTTGTGAAGCAGCTGCCCGCGTTTCCAAAGCCTGTATGTTGTTGGATAGTAAGTTGCAGAATGGGGCCAGGCTGGAGAGGCAAGTGCAGTGGCATAATGGAATGTAGATGAGTAGAAGCTGTTTCCAGGGCGCTTGGCGCACGGCACAATGTACATGCTGAAAAACAACTAACAAGAAAACCTAACACATGCAGTCATGTCGTCGCAAGCGCGTATGCAAGAACAACAGGAACAACAACCAGAAGAACAAGAACAGCACCACAGGAACAGCGCGTGCACAGGCCACGTTGCATCGGTCCTTTGCTATGATGTAGGAACGAATAATAAGGCCTAGGTTCAAGTTTCCTGTTGCGCGTGGATGGCCATGCCAGAACAGGCAACATGATGGGTGAACTTGCACGCTACCAACTTGCCCCCGAGCACGCGACGAGCGGACATAGAAAAGAGCTTAGCGGGCCCCCCCCTTTCCCCCAACGCTCACACAATAAACCATCCCAAGCGCTGCTGTCCGTATGGGCCGCAGCCGCCGTTCACACACGAGTTAAGTCCGACATGTATGCACCGTGAACATGTATGCACCGTGAATGAAACCCTAAGTGTGATCGTGCCCAAATACAACAGCACTGCCCAATGTCCAGAAGCCTAGCGCCGAAATCCTGGGACCCTGTCGGTCAAGCGTTAAGGTGTCCAGTTGCTGTGTGGGCTAGGACTTAGGTCTTGGACTGTCACGGCGGTGGGCGTGTGGGCGCTGCCGGCGCGTTGCCGGCTCATCGCGTAGAAGGCCGGGCTGGCGGAAGGCGGCCCGCGCAGCACATTGTAGCCGCCCGGCCCCCGGGCCTTGAACTGCGCGATGTAGAGGGCCTCCATCTTTTGGGCTAGAGCAGGATTGGCGGTGCGCAAAGCGTATGATGGTCGACCCCGCCGGCTAAAGCTACACGTCCCCAACTGAAGATATTCTCGGTGGTTTACCAGCAGGTGTTGTGCTGTTCTTGCTGTCTGATGTCCTGAACGCTTCCTCTTCCCGCAGCCGTTTCAAGCGCCCAGTCTTGCAAGCTACGTTGTATGCTTTCATATCTTTTCATATCTTATTCAGCTCAGGCTAAGCAGCCAGCCAAAAGTTCGAGATGCATACCGCTTGTGACTGCGGCCAACATGCCCTGACGAGCGGCCTTTCGCCGAAAAAATTACATACACTTTTACAGGCGCATTTTGAGAATTGAACGCGCGCATCCGCACGGCAAAATTCGCTCCTGGCTTTTTTGGGACGAGTGTACTTAGGCTTTATTCGCGAAGTACGACCGGACACATTTGTGCGAGAGGCTGCTTAACAACGTGACACTGAGTCCTTGAGGTCTGGATTGCACTCCACGTACAAATCTTTCGGACTGGCCCCATTTGCTTCACTCTTGGGTTTGTTATGCAGCGTGCTGGAGGCGCATTCTGTTGAGACATGCAACTCATACCAGTCACCTTCAAGCATCTTCGCTCATAAACCCGCACAAACTCGACACGCTACAATCCTTCCGTGCGACCTTCCAGATCTTCCAGATGAACCTAAACCAGACGAACCCAAAAAGTGCTATGAGCGCAGTGAGCATCTACGCCGCAGCCTGCCTTTTCAGGAGCGCCTCTTTGCGCCTCATGGCCCCGTACCTCCGCTTCCTCACCCCTCTAGGCTCCTTCCCTCTGGCCCTGGTCCCTCACGGCTTGCCCCGTTGTTTGTTGCGTTGTTGCCCCGTTCGCAACAAAATCTCTGGGCTCTGGAGAACATCTGGGCCTGACCCAGATCCAAGACCCTGTAATCCGGATCCAGACTTTGCTGCTGATTCCGATTTTTTCCCGATTTGGATCTTCTTTCGCGAGGGGGGATGGGCTCTTCATTCTAGACTAGAGAACTCGGGGGGTTCGTCGCGATCTGGGTCGTTGTGGTCAGTTAGCGTCCTTCATGCTGTCGAGCACTCGACCGCCTCTGCCGCCATCACAGCGCGCAAACAAAGAGAAACGAACGGAAACGACGTGTAATTGAAGAGCTTTTCAAGCTGCTGAATTGCAGAGAAAGGAGAGCGAAAGTAGAGAGAGGGGGGGATCACGGATAGGGGATCGTACACAGCAGGCCCTGTCGTACTGGCCCCTACCGGTACGACCTCCGTTGTAGCCACCCTCCCCTAATCGCCATATGACATGACACGACACGACACGACATGGCAAAGTGATGCACGATGCAAAAGATGAAGCAGCCGCGGGGGCGGTAACGCGGGGAAACCCCGCGCGGAACAAAACACAGCGCCATCGGCTGCCGTCACCCCCGCCTCCATCCCCACCTCCACCGCCACCGCCGCCGCCACCTCCATCGCCACCCCTACCTCCCTTAACCCCCTTACCCCCACCTCCACCTCCACTTACACCACGCAGGGGCTACTCCCCCATCATGGTGCTCGATTTCGCGCCCACAGCCGTCCAGGAACATCAAAAGCGTACGGCAAAGCCCCCGCGCGGCGGCCTCACTGTCGTACAGTGCGATGTGGCAGATCCCGAGTGGCCGGAGGTGGATGAGGCGGGGATGCGGTACGGCATCGTCGTGGACAAGGGCCTTATCGACTGTCTGCTGACCTCCCCCTCGGGCATCGACCGCGCCTCCGCCGCCATCACCAACGTCTGGAGCCACATGACCACCCCGGCTGTGTGGATTTCCGTGTCGCACTCTCCACCCGCCGACAGACGGGACTTGTACTGCCTCTCCGGGGCCGCCGTCGCCGGCACCACCAGCGTCTACTGGCACAACATCCAGGTACGCCTGTACGGCAAGATGCGTGTGGGTGGTTGGAGCGTGAGTGTGTGGTGTATGTGGTGTGTGGTTGGGGGGGGGGGCGGGGCCGGGGGCGGGGCCGGGGCCGGGGGCATTGAGTACCGTAGGAGGTTTTACGTCGCGTGCTTGCGTTTATATTATTTTGCTGGACTGTCCGGTGTACGACGAAATCAGATCTGATATGGGCTTTCCACGCTTCGAACATATGAAGGACGCTATGAAGTGGGAACCTGAACGCCTGGCAAGGATGCTGGAACGCATATGGTCTCACCGCAACTCTATATCGTTCCCTTTGGTCGTTAGTATACTTCATCACTTGTCTCGTTGGAAGTGCGAGGTAGGATGGTGCTTATAGGCGATTTGGCAGCCCTTGAGCCCTCGGCTCGTACTACGGTGGTTTGCAGGTACGGGGAACGCACCCACGACCATGTAACAACAACAACAACAACAATGTTACTAACGCATGCATGTGTACGGCATCCCGCGTGGGATTACATCTAGGGGGGTTGAAGGGGTCGCGTGTCAACCCGCCTCCCCCGAACCCACAACTCACAAAATTTACAACCCTCTTTTTTGTGGGACAGCCCAGGAAGGCACCGGGCAGCGCCGTTAACCCCTGCCGGCCCCTGTCAACACGCACATACATACACCCACACAACCCCCTCCCTCACGCGCTCCCTCCCTCCCCCCTCCCCCCACACAACCACAAACTCCCTTCCCCTCTCTAAAAGCTCGCCACCGTGTCGCGCGGCGTGTGCTAACTACCCTCGTGCGGGAAGTGACATCATGTACGACATCCTGTGTTTTGTGACTGCAGGTCAAGCGGGTACGACTTCCCCCCCTGGAGTACTCCAGTAAGACTGCCGTACAAGGAAAGGAGACGCTGGAGGACTACAACGATTGGGAGGGGGCGGGTTTGGGGTCGGGGCCGGGAGGGGCCCCACGGGGGGAAGTAACCCCGGGGGAAAAGGCGCGGTCGGCGACGCAGGTGCCGTACAAACCGTCTGAGGCGGGGGACGGACAGGGACAGTCGACGGGGGAGCTCCCAGGTGCTGACGTGTTTCGCGATGACGTGGCGTACATCTACATCCTCACGAAGTAGCCCCGGTAGCATTAGAGCGTTGCCGGGCTCTTAGCCGTACAGTGCCACTTGTAAGCCATATGCCTTCGAATCTGGTTTCGGAGGAGACCGGTTCCGGACGCAGCTGCAGCCAGCCTCATGCTGTTCTCCTCCGGCCGCTTCAGATCCAAACGGTAGTTATTGGGCGCGTTGCCGAGGGGTTTGAATTGCATGGCGGCTGGCGGACGTAGCTCCGGAACCACTATGGTGAACCGAAAGCCAAATGGTGTGAGTGTGTGTGTGAATGGGTGACCCCAGCTGTGTGGTCGCGCGTGTGGGTTTTCCGGATACACGTGACGGACTGAAGCTTGTGCAGGTGTAGGGGGTGTGCGGATTCAAAAGAGAAAGGTAAGATTATCGCCAACTGCGGCGCTGGTCGCCAACTACGACCCCGGAACGTTATGAAGGTCATCGCGCGAAAACAGCAAATGAGAGCATATTTTGTTCCATTGGGGCTTTAGGTTATCATCTGTCATTTCCTTATTTCTCGTGTCTGAGTTCCCGTAACGTTGATGTTCCGTCCTGTCTCCTGAGCCGAAGCCATGGGCCCCGTCATCCTATTGCGCATGTCACGTGACTGAATTCGCTAGTCTGGACAAAGGTGAAACGTCAACATGGAGACGTTGAAGCTCACTTGATGCTCTAAAGGCTGTCAAAGTGCAGCAGAACACGTGAAGAAGCCGGCTAAAAGGAACTAGGGCTCCCGATGTTTCTCTTGCAGTGGATGCCGGCGGCATAGGCAAACAAAAGAATCTTTTATGAGGCCCGATGCAATCGCTTTAAATGAAGCTAACTGGTTAACTGGGAGGTTATCAACGGACGGTCGGACGAAATATACCATGAGAGAAAGCCGCCGTTGGGCCGGTCCTTGACTTACATCTAGGCATAAAGTAATCGCCAAAGGCAACTCCTGATCGGGCATGAATTATGCTTGCGGAGTTGCATTGGTAGTTCAACCTGTTGTTCAAGCTCGACAGTTAGCACGTATTTACGATGTCGGCACCAATGGCTTTCGCACGGCATCATAACCACAGGGCTTTGCTAGCATGATGGAAAACATTATCTATCTGCACGTCATGTGATATGTACTATAATAAGGGTTTGCTTCGTCAAAATCTTGGATCGGCGCTCAGGACTCGCTCTTGAAGATAGAACCTTGGAGTTAATATCATTCATCCAGGCATCATTAAACAATCTTGATTTATTAAGCCGGGACGATTAAGTGTGTTAACATCGAAGCCGGTTTTCACGAGCGACGTTATGGCGACTGACGTAGCTTCTGCTAACGAGAATGTTGGCATCCTAGATCGGTTAAATCATGTCGTCGAGAACTCTGCGGTGAGTGGCAGTTCGACCCGTCAGGTGCACGTGTGCGGCGGCCGAGAGTATTGCCTTAACCTCCTGCACTGCGCTTAGACTAGAATTAAAGGAAGATCATGTGGTTTGACATTAACTTGCCGTTCTTCACTCGGTGCTTCTATACGCAAGCCCTAGTGTGTGAAACAGTGGCCGAGTTGGTACTTAACTGCCGCCATCGTGGTATCTTATTTATCTCGTTAAAACAAAGTTTTCCATATCTTAGGACGTGCACATGTCGATTGGTATATGACGGGTGCTTGCGAGTCGAGTGATCTTGCTGTAACGTTTGCATCTTTTGCTTTGAAATTGCAAACTACAGGTCGGCAGATATTTTTGCCTCAAGGAAAGAAAGTCAACCTTCACCACCGAGCTTCGGGCGGGAACTGTTACTTTCCTTACGATGGCCTACATTCTAGCTGTGAACGGAGCCATCTTGGCAGATACAGGTAACCCGCTTTGCTCTCGCGCTTACTGAACAATCACACTAAAGTTCCATATCGAACGGCTAACCTAATAGCAATTGTGGTCCTTCATTTCGTCCATACCGTACGGATTTTTCATTCCAGGTGGGCCATGTACTGTGGACGACTGTACCAACAACAAAGGCCAACCTTTCTGCATGTTTGGCAGCGGCGGGCGTTCCGACCCTGGCTACCTAGCTTGCGTGGTACGTCTCCTCTTCCTGCGTCTCCTTAGGGGTTTCGGGGTTTGAATGACGGGGCTCGCATCACGGGACAGTAATAGGAACCAATTCAATGCTACTCACATCGTACATATCAGTAATCTCTCCTCCTCCAGTAATCAATCCCTTCCTCCCAGTCATTGGAGCATCGGCAGCATCAGCTTCCGGAGGTGGGCGCACGGCACCATCAACCTGAATTCCGTGGCTGTACGGCTATGAGTCATCTTAGCTGATGACCTTACTAGCAACGATGCATCCTAAGCTTTGGTAACTCGGGGGAAATGAACTGTTTTTTTCCTAGATGCGTTAAACATGAGCGTTGCAGTGTAGCACACAATTTGAGAAAATAATAAACACGACAACCTTTTTTGTGTCTCCCACATCATCAGTCATCGGGTTCGATCATTTTTTTAAGCTCCTCCCATAACGGACGCTGGCCCGCCTACCTCTTGGACGCAATGACACACTGTCGTACTTCCCGTGCGTACTGTCCCGTACGATGTTTGATTTTGCAGGCCAAGGCTAAGCGCTCGATGGTAACCGCCACCGCCGTGGCCAGTTTTGTGGCATGCGTGCTGATGGGCGTTGTGGGCAACCTGCCCTTCGGCCTGGCGCCCGGTATGGGCATCAACGCATACTTCACGTACACGGTCGTGGGTTACTTTGGAAACAAGGGCATGGTGAGTGGAATCCCAACCCGGGTGTGCGCATGTGCGTGTGTGTGTGTGTACATATACCATCGCCAATCGCCAACCTATCATGTGTGTATGTGTGCGTGTGTATGTCTAGAACATATCGATCGGGGCCTGATGCTGGCAAGGGGCACCTAACTGTACACCCCCAAAGGGAATATGCCCCCCGAATCACTCCATCATTGGAGGGGCGGTAGTATAACGTCAGAATTTTAACCGGTCTCCCTATTGAACACCTGTTCGAATCCTCTAGCCAGCTATATACTCCAGCCCGAATGCCAAGCAACCTCCCTTCCACCGAGCGGATGCTCTACAGCTGCGTGATCTGCCAATGCACTCACACCCTACCGAGACCCTCTCACCCTACCGACCGGCTGGGCCGGAGGGTTACCGAGCGGCGACCGGTCAAATAAGGTACTATGCCATAGGGCCATACATCCCTTCCCCCATCCCTCCATTCCCCCCCCCCCCCGCGCTCCCACCCCCTCACAGATCTCTTACCGAGATGCTCTCGCGGCTGCTTTCATTGAGGTGGGCGAGTGGGAGTGTGCAGGGGCTGCATCCGAGTAAAGACATCAGTATCGATATGGGTACATCTGCTTTGAAGAGGGCATGATGAGTTCTTATTAAGGGCCACGCTGCGGCAGATAGCGAGAAAAGATGCACAGTTCTCTTTTTTCGCACGTCAATCAGCATTTCACGCCTTACAGTCCTTTCGTCGTACGTCTGAAAAGCCAAAACCGACCGGCTGCACAGGGCTGGATCTTCTTCATCATCTCCATCACTGGCCTCCGTACGAAGATAACTACTATCGTACCCAAATGTGTCATGCTGGTACGTTGTCGCGTCATATTTACCCATGTCCTTTTGTTACGGATTACTCGATGGCGATCTTTTGGTTCCTATAATGCATTCGAATCATAAAGTCACGAGTGGGGCAGGCTTGTTTATGTGTCTTTTAAGGTGGTGATTATTATAAAAGTGATGATTAAAACGGCCCAGAAGCCTCCCATTCTGTAACATTACATTACATTACATTACATTACATTACATTACATTACATTACATTACATTACAAAAGTGATGATTTATGTGTAGGGGGGCTTATTGCCCGATTGATGCACATAGGTGTGCACCGTTCACTTTCCCGCTCCGAAACCCGGCACAGAAAGCAAAGAGCCCTCCCTCCGCCACAGGCAACATCGGGCGGCATCGGCTTGTTCTTGGCGTTCATTGGTCTCCAGGTGAGATCTACAGCTTTGCTGTAGCTGTAGCTGTAGCTGCTGTAAAAGCGATGACTGTTAAGGCTCAACCCTTCCTTCATGAGTGATATCCCATGATTTAAAAGTTCACCCGCGTGACAGAAACCCAAAGCCCTACATCGCCCAACATCACAAGAAGAGGCATACCATTCTTCCGTTCGCCCGGCAAACCTTTGAAACACCCTTTCTTTGCTTTCCACCACCACCTTCCAAATTTTTTTAACCCTGAACCATTTCCCTAGATCACATCACATCTGCCCTCATTCGGAAAAAAACGCCTCTCATGCCAATCAATCGAACCGTTTGATGATTCTTTTTGTTTGCATTTGCATCTCGCGGCTAATGGTTTGCCTGCTGGGCCGCCGTACCAGACCGCCAACGGTATCGGCCTCATCTCCTTCGAACCGGCTACGCTCGTGACGCTCGGGGGCTGCAGAGTGGAGGATCGCGCGCCCATGTACACCATAAAGGACCCGACCAAAGTCTGCAGTCTCCACAATGGAACAGTGTCTACCAACCTGGGAGCAGCGTCTCCGAACTACGCATGCAGTAAGTGTCTGCATGTGCCTGTGTGCGCGCGCACATATGTGTGTGTGTGCACATATGTGTGTGTGTGCGTACATGCGTACATACGTACGGGGCGTAGGTGTAATGGATACGGAGTAATCACCCTTCCGGCCAGGTTGGTTCCTCCTAGCACGGCTTGGCTGCGTTTTCTTCCACAGGTGAAGGTGTGGAGCTCCGTGGCGTGGTTGAAAGTCGCCAGCATTTCGCTTCCGCTTCCTCCTGCAATATCTCTCATCATCATCATCATTGCCCCCTCTCCCGGCCTCCCTGACCAACCCTGTCTGCCACCCATCCATCCCTCTCCCCCGCGTGGTCAGTTAACGGCATGAAGATGCGCAGCGCCAGCATGTGGTTGGGGATCATGGGCGGCGTGCTGATGGTGCTGCTCATGGCGCGAGGCTTCCGAGGCGCCATCATGGTAGCAATCTTGTTCGTGACCTTCGTTTCCTGGATTCCAGGACATGACGCGACGTTTCTGGGTGCCGAGAGCCAGATCCCAGGTACCCGGCGCAGCACGGCTTACGAAGCCTGCACCAGGTTTAACTTTTGTTGCTTACATGATCGTTTTTATTACTGCCTTGCTGTGCTTACTGGTGTGCGTTTATGTGCTTTTGGCAGATGACTTGAAAAGTAGCTTGACTCACAACGCAAGGGCTTAGCTGCACCTCTAGATCTAAGTTGGGCTTTTGGGGGTGGGAAAGACCTGTATGCGCCGGTAAACGTGTGCGTGTGTATAAGAATGGTACGGCACCGCCACAGGAATTCCTATCTGCTGCATCTAACAGCACGCCGCCGCCGCCGCCGCCGCCGCTGCGAAATGCTCTTGTTTTGCTTTCGCTGCGGCCGTCGCCTGAGAGAGGTTTCACTTCGCACTTCATTCCACTCCACCGACAGCGACAGTCGACGGCAATAAGCAACCGGAAGAACAAAGAGCGGGCAAGAGCAGCTCCCCATCCCACGGTGTCTCCTAGGTGTGTGTCTGTCTGTCTGTATGCCTGTATGTTTGTGTGTTTTGTCTTGTGATCAACACCCTATCAATCCCCCGCACGTGCCTGTGTATGTATGTGTGGATGTGTGTATGTGTGCGTGTGTGTGTGCCGGCTGTTTGTCACGCCACCCGCTGCCTCCGAGCCTCAGGTGGTGCAGAGCGCCGCGAGTACTTCGAGAAGGTGGTACAGCGGCCTGACACGTCTTTCACGGATCTGGAAATGCACTTCAAGGCGTGAGTTGTCGGCCTGGCCTGGAGGGCGGGGGGGCCTTGTACGGGCTGGGCTCTCGACTCCGTGAACGGCGGGACGGGGCCTGGGGGGCCCGGGGGTTTGCACCTCAGTGGCACCTCACCGGGTGGTGGTCTTAGTCTGCCTGTGCATGAGGGAGGAGGGCGAGGAGGGGGAAGGTGGGGAGTGATGCTGGGGGTGAAATAACTGTCTTGTGCACACTGGGTCTGGATGGGGTGGTGAGAAAGTGGAGAAATCTCTGGGGGGAGCTCCCGTCCCGTGCTCTTGCCTTTTCCATAAACCTGTATCTTGTACGACTATTGCCGTACTGCCGTACTGCAGTTTTGGCAAGCCCCAGCTGTGGACAGCGCTCATCACCTTTCTTTATCTAGATTTGCTGGACTGCACCGGCACATTCTTCTCCATGGCCAACTACATCAACAAGAGGGTGCCGGGATTCATTCACCCGGTGACGAAGGACTTCCCCCGAATGACATTGGCGTTCTGTGTGGACGCGAGCTCGATCTGGATCGGGGCTCTGTTGGGCATCGCGCCGCTTACCGTGTACATTGAGTCTGCCACCGGTAGGTATACCACTGGTTCGTTAAAGCGGTTGGTGGTTGATGGTCTTCTTGGTCGTTACCCTGGTGTACGGCAAGAAGCAACGATGTCGGATGTCGTGTGTCGTGCCGTGTCGTGTCAATGTCGAATCCTTGGAGGTAGTTGGCCAACGACCAGCCATCGATCCAGCATATGCATATGTTGTTTTCCTTGTATCTTTCTAATATATAATAATATAATGGATATAATATGTAACGCATAACATACATATTGTATAATATTATCTGTATGTATGTTGTTACGGGGTGGTTAACTTCGCCACCGTCACCCCATCCGACTTCAGAATGTATTCGTTGGGTTCGGCAATTCACCACCATCGCGCATCAACTTAGTTCCTGGTTAGCTCGCAAGTTGATTTTATCACGTCCTACATATATTATTATAAAACATACATTTATATGTGGAGCCTCATTGCTTGTTGAATTTTACCATTGTGCCCTAACCTACCGTTGTCCGCAGCAAAATTCCCGAAAATATTCACTGACTATCCTTTTCTGGATCTTTATATATGTTCCTCACAACAGGCATCCGCGAGGGTGGCCGCACTGGCATCACGGCCATCATGATCGGTTTCTACTTCTTTATCGCCATGTTCTTCACGCCGATCATCTCGTCCATTCCGCCGTACGCTACGGGGCCCGCGCTGATCCTGGTGGGCGCTCTGATGATGGAGAACATTCTGGACATCGAGTGGAAGGACCCCCAACAAGCCATCCCGGCCTTCCTCACCATCGCATTGATCCCCCTCACATACTCCATCGCGTGAGTACCCGGACGGCGCAGCGCTCCCACTCCTCTTTATTGTATTGCGGAGTTTTTGTAACATGGTATATTGTTTATAGGGTCTAGTTTACTAGACCCTAATAACAATAAAGAGGAGGGCTGTGCGGTGTTTATAAACACCGCACAACCCCCGCTCCAGTATTGTTTATAGGGTCTAGTAAACTAGACCCTATAAACAATACAGAGATTGTCCTAACCTCCCTACCTCCCTACCTCCCTAGCTCCAGGCATGTGGTTAAACGAAATGGCGGACGCGAACCACAACCATAACGTCCGCGTGGGGGCACTGTGTCACGCTGTGCGCTCCTAGCCACATGCCCGGCTGCTGTTTGCAAGCATTGAAGTCCCTGGTGGGCGTGTACGGCTGGATATTCAGCATCTGCATATACGACATTCGCAACTTTTTTTGTTGGATCTCGAGGTGTTCTGGACGGACTGGAGCTGTTTTGTGCTTGTTTTTTTGGTGAAGGTCTCCCCTAGGACGTACTCCTCTAAAGTTTGTGGCGAACAGATGTGGATGGCCATCACTTACTTAGCAGTTGCTGTAATCTTCATAGGCTTGATTAGGCAAACCTGTCGATCAGGGGGCGCGATGCGTTGGGGAGTTCTGGAGGTGTGGCCGGCCTAGCTAGGCGGCGTGCAGTGCTGCAGACTGCCGATCCCAAATGCGAGGAGTCCCTTGTGCGCTCCTGCGACTCGTCCTGCTGCATGCCCTCCTTCCTGCTCTACCGTACAGGTACGGCATCATTGCCGGGATCTGCTCGTACCTGCTGTTGTACCTGCTGCTGCTGGCGTACGACCTGCTCACGGCTCCCCTGCACCGCAAGTCCTTCGTGGACATCCTAATTGATGCTAAGGTAATGTTCGCTAGGGTATCAATTTCTCGACTTCCCAGGCTCATGATTTTATATTCTGAGCAGCATGTATCAGCTGCCTGCTGAGATTATTTTCGCCGCGATAATTGTGCAGCTTTACTCGTGCTGGTGCCATGAAGAAAAGCGCGCTCAGCGAACTGCCACCCAAATAGTTGCACCCCAGCCTAACAGCTTCGTCTAACTTCCCCAAAAGATCCCATAATTAACAAATGAAAAGTGGAAGAAGCACAGTTTTGCAGCTAACCCTTCCCCCTGTCCTCGCCGTCTGTTTCCTCCCGCCTTCGCCTGTGTGGGCTGCGCTGTGCAACGTACGCGGTACGACGAATGTGGTTTCACGCAGCCGGAGGTCTTCAAGTCGTACGCGCAGCTGGAGGCGGAGGAGCTGGCCCGTAATAAGGCCCGCGTGGAGGCGCTTGAGCAGGAGCTGGAGCTGACGAACTCCTCCATTATGCACGCCACGACGTCGATCAGCGAAAAGGCGGCCGCCAAGGCTGCCACCGCGGACGGTCCACCGCTGGCTGCTAGTTGCTGCTAATAGGCCTGGAGAAATGTGTTACTCTTCCTCAAAACATGAATCCAACAATCAAGGATGCGTCCTGATTTGAGGCGCTTATTATCATTATTAGCTGTACAGTACTTCAGCAGGTACAGCGCAATATTTTGCACAGTAGCTTTATATGATGTTTTACTTTTCAACGCCGTAAGTACTTCAACGCCGTAAGGGACGTGCTGAGCATCATCTATCCGTCCATCCATCCAGGGTTATCCCGTGGGGGATCGCGATCTGCATTCTTCTTCCAACAATTTCACGTTCCTACATCGACACGTTGTCGCTGCAGCAGTCAGCAGCTGCTGCTGCTGCTGCTGTACTGTGCGTGTTTTTGGACGCCGTTTAGCTGTACGAGTTTTCCTTAAACAGGTTTTGCCTGGCTTTGGAGGAATGGTGCGCCTGCAGCTGCTAATGTCGTTACGCCTCGTGCGCGTACGTGGGTGGATGGATACGCGGAGGCGAATGGATTAAAACCAAGAACCAAAAACAACCGTTCATAACGGCCGGCTTGCAAATGCCGGATGCTCTTGATGTGATCCTTAATACCTTTATGATATATGAACGTAGGCACCTATCGACATATCTATCTACTTGAGTTAAAATTTACGGCAACCGAAAAGGATACGTTTTTCGGCGGAGACCGCCGAATTATTCTCCTCCTTTGCTGGAGGTATCCGGGTGCGGTGCGCGGTTTCACAGAGATCACCGATTTCTGCGGAATCAGGGTTGTGGTCGAAGTCGAAAAGAGCGCGCGACGGCAAGTCTAACGGGGAAGGTCCTCCCCCTGCTGGTAACTCGGAGATAACACGGCCGCAGAGGTAGACGCGAACAGGGGCTGTGCGTTTCCTCAGATTCCTCCGTTTCCTGTCAGGGGGCGGGTCATAAGCAGCTCTGGCTTGATTTTCTGTTATTTTTCCAACTACTTTTTAACTGTAAGAAAACAAAAGAGTAAAGGTGCAATCCACACGTCTCGAACCTTCGGCTGTCGTACAGCCTGCTTCCAAGGGTACTCGGCCTTCGGAGCCTGAGAGGTAATCGCCTTCTCTCAGCAGCAGTGACTTGGCCGCCGAACTTGCGGGGTGGCGGCGGCTTGCGGTCAGGTCGCCGAGTTTGCCTTCCAACGGACAGCGACTCTCAGGCCGTCGTAGACGCTGATTGCGTCTCGTCTGTCACCAGGCTGCGGCTGTCACCTCGCCGCCTCCGCTTCCGGTGGATGCGGAGGGGGCCGGCTTACATAGCGTGCCGCTCACTGCTGCTCCGCCAGGGGTGGCTTGCCAACCCCAACTGTATGTCCCTAAGGGTCTGGGTCCCTAATCTCTGTAGCCTCCGGCGTTGGTCAACATCCCCTCCTGAATTGAGATCTATACTTTGCAATATCTTTCCAAATAATTTGAAGGTGTGGGTTGCTGTTTTCGTACTAAAATCCTAAAACTCTAAAACCCTCCGAAGGGGAACAGGTTTTAGATTGCGGTATTGACACCTGACAAGAAACCGGCAGATGAACCGAGAGTCGCGCCTGGGACGAAGGAAGCGAGAAAGAAAGAAATAATAAAACATATATTTTTTTACATCATGTTGTTATATTTATTGCGTGGTTGGCGGATGGACTCGAGATGTATCCTGTGTCCGCAACGATGTGCGAGAGTCCAAACATCAGTTGGCGTGCTGCGCCAGACACGAAACGCCAATCCTTTCCAATTCGTATGCGTGTTTATGATTAATAATATACGTCTATACTACATCACGTTGTCTTAACGTTTTTTATATCGAATGAATTACATGCCTATTAACATATCTAAAAATACGCATCGAGGAAAAATCGAATTGCTTTGTACGGTACGGTATGTGGCGGCTCCAAACGCGCCTTCCATCGGAACCTCTTCCTCTCTCCTCGTCCTCGGTCAACCCCCCAGCATTCATCCATTACATACATACATGCATGGTATAAACACCCAAACACACTCACAAACACATGCTCCATGCATAAGTGGCGTGTTGCACGAAAAGTACGATCCACATGCCTCTCGTGACATAGCGCATGGGGAGATATACGGTATTCATACCTATCGCATGCATTGTGCATCATACTATGTATCAAACTATCGGCCCGTGTCGTACACGTACGACAGGCAGAAGCGTATCTGAAAGGGCTTCCGATTGGAGAGTTCACTAGTGGTCATGCACACGTACGCCGCATGCACATCGCCCCGTTTCGTCGCTCCGAAACTCCCCAGGGTGTCAATGTGTGTGTGAGAGAGAGACACATAGACACACAGACAGATAGACAGGCAGAGCGTGTGCGTGTATGTGTGTGTGCATGTTTCTGACACGCAATACACCCCTCTATGAGTACGGCACCTGCAACCCATTTCAGGGGGTGCACCTTAACCCTCTCCATCCATACATTATACATACGTACATACACACACACAAATACAACAAACATAAATCGTGTCACATGTCATGTGCAATTAAAAGGTGGTTGGTTGGTTAGAGTACCTCACACGCAACCAACCAACCGGGGGAAGACTCTGCTGCAGTGGATGCAAAAACTTTCCCCAACCCCTACAAAACATACATACGCGACATACATATACATATACTACATATACATACGGATTCGCACAAACGACACCCACATCACATAGTACGACACAGCACGTCATGTCAGCGCCCTGTGGTAAGTGACTGGCTGGCGACGAGAGGGCAGTCGAAGGCGCACCCCACCCCACCCCACCCCACCCCACTACACCCCACCCCACTACACCAGCCACACCTCCGCCGGCAGCAGCAGTATGCATCAATATAAGTTATTCATTAAAGTCACTACTACCACCATGACTACTACCACCCTGAGCATCATCTTAGCCACAACCGCCTTGCAGCGCCACACGCCGTACACATGGCGCGCATGTATGCATGTGTAAACATATGCGGGCACGGCAGGGCAGCAAGGTGAGCCCAGCAGATGAACATACATACAGACAGACAGATGGACTGACAGTTAAGTACGCGGATACAGATTGACAGAGGTAGACTGCGATGCGCAACACAACTCCTGCAACACCAGTAGTGCAATGTACATTAATGTATTAGTGTAAAGTAATCCTGACTGTATAGTAATAGGTCGGCCAACTGGTCGGCCACCGCTACTTGAGCAATGAGAGCGCAGTGCATCCCGGGGTTGCGGTTGCGCTACCCAGCGTGTGAGTTCTCGTAGAGCTACCCACCCGTTCCAATTTCATTCCATTCCGGGCTGGGGGGTCGTAGTTCCGTAGATATATACATACATACATACATACATACATACATACATACATACATACATACATACATACATACATACATACATACATACATACATACACGGTGGCAATGCCCCCCGCCCGGCTCTCCGAGAGCCACACCTCCATCTAAGCGCCCACATGACGTGCCCCACTTTTAAAACTCACTCAGTGAATTCCAACTCTGAATAATAAAACCAAACACCTTCATCCAGTGTCACTCATCAATACGAACGAACGAGTGCGACAAGTCAAAATTTCCGTGGAGGCACACACCAAGTTGTATCTTCCCTTCCTTCCCCCCCTCCCGCATATTACGTGTCATGTAATGGCTCATGAAAGGTTTTCACCCACCAGCAACAACCTGTGTTGTTTGGTAAAACAAGTCCAGTTGGTAATAAAAGGCATCAGAGGAGGAGTGTTCAGAGTTTGAGCCTCTTTCTGAACCCAAATCCCACCGAGTGTTCCCCCCGCAGTGGTTTGCTCACTCCTCCCCGCGCCCGCCCGGGTCATCCACGGCACTCCAGGTCATCTCCGCGCACACACAGAGAGAGAGAGAGAGAGAGAGAGAGAGAGAGAAAAAGGCCCTTTTGATGATCCAAAAGAGATTCCAAAAAGCCGTTCCGAGGTTGTTACGATGGATGCCCCGATTCGCCGCCAGGAATTAGGTGGTTTCGGAGTGGATCCGGGAGCCAGCCACCTCACGCACCTCACCCCGCCCGCCACAAAAAACAACAACAGCAACAGCAAAAAGCAACAGCAGGAAATATACGACCTGAACGACCGGCGCCACTGCTCTGCGCCACTGCGCGCCAGCCGACCGCCACACTGGCCTTCTTGCCACAAAGCACAAGTCAGGCGGAAACCCTAAACGCGCTCCACAAGCAATAACCGCACAGCGCTCCAAACTCTTCCAGAATTCGAAGCTTTTGAACAAAGCCACCACCATCATCATCATCATCATCGTGGCCACCCACCCACCATCGAAACAGTGCCTCAGGTACGTTGCACTCGCCCTCGCCCTCGTCCGCCATTCAAAGCCATCCAAAGTGGCGGCGAAGGCCACGGGGGGGAGGTGGAGGGCTCCCGCCCTAAGCTCTTGCCATGCGATGGTTCCGGAGCTCGATAAGGAAGAGCTAAGTCATTGGGCCATCTGACATCTCAGAGCAGCAGTATCCGCTTCATCTCCCACCCTCAACCCTCCTCTTCACCGTCACCGTCACCTTCACCTGGTCAGTACAACCCGCAGTGCCGTACAGGTCATTCTTCAGGCGTCGTACAATCATCGCAAAACGGCACCCACTCCCAGACACACGCACCGGCAGGAGGAGGGCGGCAGCCGTCAGCTGCAGTCCCCAGAGCAATTAATTAATCCCAAGCTCCGAACCGCACACCACGTCGCTCCCCTCCCATAGAAACCTGAACCGCATCGTCCCCCCCCCCGCCCTCCGCAAGGGTTTCCCAAGTTGTTATGCCCCCATGAATCACTTCGTATAATCCGATACACCGACATACATACATACATAAGCGGGGGTTGCACCCTGCACGTCGTCGGTCGAGTATAGTGGCTCCTCACACCCCTCTTTTCCCCCCAACAAGGAGGAAAGCGCTTCGGCGGTCGCTCCTTACCGTTGGATTACGGTTAGGTGCCCCTGGCCAGCGTCACCCCCAGCGGTACGGCAGCCGCGTCCGCGCATGATG